AAGTAGACTAGAAGGATGCAAGCATGGCCACCATGTCAAGGCGCCAAGAGCTCCTCACGAGAGTCTACTCGCGAGAAGAATGGTCTCCTAGCGAGATGTCTCTGCCTAATGTATGGCGTGGTCTGAGGCTAACCGTAAGACTAGCCTATCGAATCGAATACTAGCAGACTGAGCTGTGGCTCAAGTCATAACGACTGCGAACGTGAACTAGAGTCTGCGATAACCTGCTAAGGTAACCGCGTCTCTGCAACCTAGCTCGTAAGCTATGCAACGTCTCATAAGCTATGCAATAACAAGCAAATCATGCAATACGCTATGCAACCGATGCTCTGCTATGCCGATGTCATACAGCGTGACAGCGTATTGAATCATTCCGACCGCATGTAAGGCTACTACTGGCCCGTCGGAGGACCGTTGTTACCCACAAACAAGACCAGTTATGTACCTGGTCCACACTTTGGCCTGCATGATGGGGCCGGCGATTGTACACATGCGTGTGTCTTAACGTCCTAGCGGGGACAATCATGATTGGCGCTTTGGAATATATATATTTGAGTGCAATCAAATTCCAAAGCTGAAAATTAATCTTGTGGGATCTGCCGCCATGATGCCCATGCTGGCAGGCGGCGGCCTGCATGCACTGGGCATGACAATCATATGTGCAGCGTAATTGAAAATGCATGACACCCGGCCCGCCTCAGCACCATGTCACGTCATTGAAACACTATAAATGTAGGCAACACCGTCAGATTCACTTAAAATTGAGGCCACTGTCAACGAGACTGTCAATAGCAAACCAATTATCGGAATACACACCCTGACATGCATTTATCTTCACAGCCATTAGTAACCACCGCGCAAACTACACCGTGCTCGCAACATGTCGAACTACAATCACAACGTCTTAAAGACTTAATGACTCACACTGTATAGGTTAGGCTTTGACTGCCACAACTAAGAATTGCAATCAAGGGGTCAACTGACTTTGTGACGAAGTTGATTGGGGCTTCGATCCCAGAGCTTCAACTCATCTACTGTTACTGAGAATTTGAGAGCATTTCTACCATTATTGAAGGATCTTCCAATTGCCCAGTGCTTGCCAGCAAACCCGCCATTTCCTATCCACAATAGTGTGCAGATTTCAAGTTGCACACGAGCCATTGAGAAGACTTCTTCCAGGCTGGTTAAGTGCAACTGTGTCCAAACAAAGTACCGACGTCTGAATGGGATGCAACGCCGCGAAATGGTTCGAATCTGCGTCGGTAACCTTGGTGCAATAGTGGAGCACTGATATAAGTATTAGTCGAATACCTCGGGCGTCACATAGCAATGCAACTAAATTCGATCGACATTTATGATGCATTCGCATGTGTCAAACCTTTTGAGAAACCAGAAGAGAGAAACAGATACTTGCTTCTTCATCATGCAGCGAGACGGCAACACCTGGCGCCCAGAGCCCGGCTCCACCGCAGCACCATGCAGCACGACCCGAACGCTCCATCCATCGGCAACCGACAATACGAACGGCGTCAGCACTCGTGCAACCCGCAGTAGCAGCTCGAACGGCACTCCCCAAGCGGCGCTCTCACAGCTACTGCACGGCCCCTTCTCACAGCAGCACCGGCAAAGCAGCAACATTCATGCGACCTCCTTGAACACGCAGCACGGCCCCTTCACACGATCTCAGCTACCGAGACCACCACAGCAACCGCCGCAGCAGGTCACGTCCAACCCACAGCACAGCGGCAACACGAACAGGGCCCCTTCAGCAGCCAGCGGCGCAGCTTCAGACCGCTCCGCACTGTGCAGAAAAGCTAGGCTTCAAGGCAAAGCTTACAGATTGAGGCTCTAAACTGCTTCACTAAGAAGTCTGCCCGTGGAAAAGGACCCTACCTAACATCCATGCCACTAAAGGGTAGGGCCTGCACATGCCCGTCTTCAATCGTTTCGACTTCCAAAAAGTCAAGAGGAGACAACTGCCAAACCTAATGCATACTCTTAACTCACACCAAAAGACCGAAATGATTCATGCACACTGCCAATGCAGATGACAACAGCTCTTAAAGTTTCTCGGGGCCCCCAGGACTTCTTCCGGTTCCCGACATCCATCCTCGCACAGTTGTCGGGGATTATACCCTCGTCTCGCTCAATCCTGCAAGGGTAGAAAACAAAGTTTGATTATGCGGTACTGAAATGGGGAAAGCAGGCGCTTCGCTTCGCATCAAGGTCGCAACATTTCCAATCTGTGTCGGGGAGCATCCCAGTGGACAACCACAGCCTCTTGTCCGTAGCGCCATAACTCCGTGATCTCGAACAGTCCGTGCACCGCACTAGCAAAAGCCTTTGAGTAACTCACCTCGTCGCTCTTGACGGGGCTCTTCTTCGGAGACACACTCCGCTTTGGCGAGACGCTCCGAGCAGGGGGCGGGCTCTTCCGGGGGCTCAGGCTCCGCTTCCGGGGAGACGGGCTGCGCGTGGCCCTCCTTGGTGCGGGGGAGGCACTGCAGCAATAAGATCGAGAGAACCGTTCGGAACCAAAAACGCTCGGATAAAACGGGGGACTAAACTCGAACCAGGGTGTCGAGAATCTGAGAAATCGGAGCCAGTCCGTTCAGTAGCAGGTTCAGAGGTGGGACCGATTTTGAGACGCATTAGGTGTCCACTAAGGTACTACTTCCATTTTGTCGTTCCGCTCATAATATTCTTCAAAGAAGTAAGCCCTGCAACCCAAATCAGACGATCGACCACAATCTACGAAGCTTGGCGTACCTCCTGCTCTCGGAGCGCTTCCTGGCTGGGCTCCTGCTGGGGGACCGCCTCCTCACGGGGCTCCGGCTGTCGCTGCGCGCCCGACGCCGCACGGGGGACTCGCTGTCGCTGCGGGCACGCCTGCGGCGGGGCGGGGTGCGGCTCCTCGAGCGGCGCCGGTCCCTGCCATAGTACCCGCCTCTGGGTCAGCGGACCCAGGGGGAACACCCCCGTGAGGCATGTTGAACGGTAACCGATTACCAGCAATGCTTTGGTCCTCACGAGGGGAAAACGTTATCCATCTCTTTAGCGGATTGTCGGACTGTACTTTTGTACAAGGCTGTGAATGGATGGCAAGGCTCGAAAGCTGCGGCTGCAGAGCATGCGGGTTGAAAAGCGGCAACGATAGCAACGGCAAATAATTCCTAAAAAATGAAAAGCACAGCTCGGAGCTTCGACTGCAAGCAAAGCAGATGTAAAACCGAAGGTCGCTCGCTCACCTGTCATCGTAGTCGCGCTCTCGCCGCCGGTCACGCCCCCTGTCATCATCCCTGCAGCAAGGTCCCACTGGATGGTAAGATACTGTCGTCTTACGCAGATTCTTGTTTGGGCGCAGCTGAACTGCCCTGGGCCAATCTCGCACAACTCATTGGTGAGGCCACAGCGGTAGGAAGAAAAAGAAGCACACTGGGTGAAATCAGCGCTGCCTAACACATTCCATCTCCTTCCCATGCATACATCATGCAGATGCGGAGCAATTTGTTGGGAAGTGCAATGCGATTTTCTTTTAGCAAGCTGTCTACTTCACTTGGGGGGGCAAAACAGGCTGGAAGAACTGACCTGTCACGGTCCCGGCCACGTCCGCCACCGCCCCTACAAGCATCAAATTATAGCAATTCAGCAGGAAATTGTTAAGAGAGACGCCAGCAAATCAATCTTGCAGCCTAGCTTGTAAGTCAAATGAACCCCATCGAAAGAAGGGACAAACGAACTCGCTGATCGGACGTCTTGAACACCATCCGAACAAGAACGAACTCACTAAACAGATGTCTTCAAGAGTGGAATCGCTGCTGCAGAACGTAAGATGAGAAGACTCCATGCAAAAAGCTTGGGGTCACCTCTGCGGGGATAATGGAAATACAGGGCATGCTATCCCGACAGTGCAGCGTAATCCTCACCATTCATCCTCATTTCTTCCATACTTGGCCCACTGGACCACCAAGTCTCGCCCGTCCAGGCTCTTCCCTGAAGACAGAGGGAGCAATCTGGTGATGACAAGAAGGAATACCACATAGCACAGAAACTTTGCATGGAGCATGGATACCCTATGATCTTCAAGGAATCAGCTCTTTGTATCTTAAACCTCTCCATGTGTCAACTTTTCTGTGTCTGCTTGACTCCTGTGACTTGATTCCTGTGACTGATCCCGGGGTAAGAAAACTTACCATCCACTCGCTTGATGGCTTTCTCCGCCTCGTCTTCATACTTGTAGCGCACAAAGGCAAATCCCCTAGAGGTCCCCTTCCTGTGGAAGCAGCGGCAAATTGCAATCAAATTGCTGGACTATCTAGGTTTAGGCCACTCTTCTTCGCCCATCTTTATCAAGAAGACTACTGAATCCACTTCTCAACCACTGCGGAGGTCGACTAGAGATCCAAGTATCGGTCCTGCTCATGGAGCCATCGGTTGAGCCTCTGATAACTTTGGTATGACAAGAAGAGCATTCTGGCAGTTGCAAACTCATTGAGCTTTTACTCACCTCCTGTCACGGGGGATGAAGATATCGACCACTTTGCCGTATCTATCAAAAAGTGGCATAAGGTCATCGGCAGTGGTCCGGAAGGATATGTTCAGGACCAGTAAGCTGTGGGTGCCTGCAAAGAAGAGGCAAAAATACTCAAGGTAAAAACAAATGTCGGTGTCTCTGCTTGCAATCGTTCGGGTGCTGGCGGCAGTGACCGAGAAGTACAACTTGAGGAGGGATGAGAAGGCAGGCAACCAAGTTCGAGCGCTAATTAAAGAATACTGAGCATGGAAAAGCATTACGTGCCAAAGCGTCACGTTGGATGTGTTGCACCAATACCAGGGACCATATCTCTGTAAATTCAATTGCATATTATTAAACAATGACATGACAGCTCTTTGAGAGAACCATATTCGGAAACCCCCCTGATCATTTGGCGAAAGGACCAACCAATACGGCATGAGGAGTGCTGAATATAACATCGCCGGCAAAGATGATTGAATCAGACTGCCTCCTCAAAGGAGTACACTTGCCAGCTTCGACAAAATCCACGAGAAGATCCTCGACAAAATCCTCAAAGAAGTCCTACCTGCGATATCCGGAGGGCCGGACCTTCCGAAGTGCGACATCGTCACCGCTGCTGATTCGCACTCAGCAAAGCCACCTCGAAAGGCGAAGAGCTGTTCAAAACACCTGGAGCGCCAAGTCGTCTAGTACTAAAGAAGCAGGGCAGAAGCTGGGCAGCCGCAACCACTGCGTTAATTCTTGACATCTGAAGATGGTGTGTACGTTGTTCTGCTTTGTATGCGACTTCAGTCACTTCAGAACCCTTTCTCCCTTACCACCCGCGGGTTAATCTCGGGGTTAATAGCTTCTCTTAGATTTTGGTGCAGATCGACAGGACTCCAAACCTTTGCTCGAGGCTGCATAGAAGCGGTTAACGGTGTTACCGTACCGAAACCCATCACAGTAGGTTAGAGGCATTCTGATAGGAAACCCAAAAAAGCTGAACCAAGATGAGCCCTTCCAATGCCCTTGCAGAGCTCGTATCATTCTGTCAGTGATGCGGTGAGCTTGTGCAAGCACTTCCAAAGCATCTGGCTGAGACGGGTGTGACTCGGGAGCCCTTGAGGCTTGAGGGCCAGGCGATCGACTTGGTGAGATAGAAGAGCTGCCTTGCAAGTTGGATGCTGTCCTGCAATTGGTTTGCTGTGGTGGTGGTGTTTTTATGGTTTTTTATGCACTGGTTGCTGGAACTTTGTGCGGTTTCAGTGATTCGATCCTGTCACCTTAAGCTACCGATTGACAGAAGTAGGGAGCTGATTACAAGTAAGGATGGATACATACGTATACCAGATTGTCCCACAAACATAGAAGCTGAGTTGCCCCTTAGACAGGCTGTTCCCACCTTTCGGCATTGCTCGTTGCTCCTGCTTGGACTTTATGTTTCTGGCATTCTGCAACTTGCCTTTTCAACGTTTCAGCAGTTTACTCAACCACTTTGTTGTCTTGTCACAGTCTTCCCAACAAGGAAGTCAAGCACTCGCTGATGTTACTGCACACTTGATTGTGCCAGGTCTTAAGATGGGCAATACCTTGGCGGACAATGCGCCGTCTACCTCCGCAAAAGCCCAGGGCCCTGATACAAAACTTTCTAGTAGGACAGTGAGAAGTAGAGCTGTACCCCTGCCCGATGTAAATACAGTAGACCGAACGTCAGTGCCGGAACAAGGGATCCTTGCATATGACTACCAAGCGAAGCAGCACGTGATGCTTTTCCCCAACCCGGAGCCTACAGAAAGGCGTCTTGTCTGGCATCGGCCAAAGAAGCCCTCATTAGGACGCTACGAGGTGGGTCGCTGCAAATCGCAGTTCTTCTACGTTTGTCCCATCTTCCTATCTTTGGGATCATGGTCTCTAGGACCCACTTCCTCTCAACTTTCACAATCCGGGTCAAGAATCAAGCCCGGAGACAGCTTGTACTCCCAACTCACTTGGTCGAGTCTTTGTTTGTCACAGTTGCATTCCGGCAGAAGACGATCTGAAACACCAAGAAAAATGGACTTGCCTAGAAACACGTCCTTTGCTTGGGATGCCCGTAGCCTATTTCATTTCGCACCGCCTGGCTTCAAGACAATCTGATAGTGTCTTTCAGCAAAAGTAGTGAAAAAGGGACTGATTGCGTTCTACGACTCATTTTCGAAAGTTCACTGAGTGGTAGCCTTTGAAGTTCACCAAAGTCGAAGAAGAATATCACTAGAGGCTGTCATTCTACATTGACTCCCACGGTTTACTTAAAATTCCAGAATCTATTCCTGAATGTTTGCAGGTCGCTGCCCTTGCGTTATTCTTTGGATATCGTCTATTCGAACATTGGATGCGGAAGAGGCGCCAAAGAAGGCGAAATGCACAGCGCGAGCACGGAGAGTGATGTGGAAGTATGCCCGGCAGCTGGATTGCGAACACGATAAAAAATTAGGAGACCCACGAGTCCCTTGCCAGTACACCCTCCGAGGGTCACGCGTCGACAGCGTGATCACAACTTATTGCAGATCAGGGCGATTCCTAGATGCTCAAATGTACGTGCTGTATCGTAGCTTTGTGGAGCAACAGCGAATTAAAGCTGGTCGTGAAATAGAACTCCCATTGACGGTTGCAACTTGAAATGGTTGGCACAACCCTCAAGTCGCTGACCAGGAGTCGTTACAAAGGTCCGACAGTGAACAGCTTTCGTTGACTCGATTACGACTCATTACGCCATGCGCATGCCTCAGTGCAACGCGGTCACTATTGATTCTGAAGTATGCGTTGACGAATTTATATTACATGTTTGCGTGGCGCGGCCGCTCACTGATATGGGGGCATGCACACTTTGATCGGGCCACGCCATGCAGGCTTGTATATGATGAAGATTGCGACATGCGAGCTTGAATTTGGCGGCTACTCCGATCCGACGTCGGTCATGCCAGCGGCTGCAGGGATGTTCCAATCATCGGGGTCATGTTTCAATGGGCATCATCATTCGATTATCATTATTTGCTTGAACATGATAAAACCACTACGGAACTGATTAGTATCTTTTACGAGACCATGATTATACAAACCGATCGACATCCTTGGCCGGTATGCACATCATATGATATTCTTGTGGTATGTCCGTGAATTGACCGAGTCTGTACGGCACATAGTCGAATTTACGCACACGGAATGAGGACAGTCAAGTTACGTACATGTCTGGCCTGAAAGGCCAGCATGCTGCGTGACTGACGAGTCGTACAAAATGATGTTCTTGCACCATCTTGCACTGCAAAGCTACCGGGAACCACTGCCGTGCGCTGCAATCAACCTCTTGTCCACATTTTATGGACAACCGTAAAGGTGACAAGACCTCCGCACCCTACCACGCACCACATTTGTGTTAGACCAACGTTCTTTCCGTGACTGGCCATTACCGCAGAAAACTCACCATTGCAGGTTCGACGATGAACAGAATTGCTTCACATCAAGGAAAAGTCTTTTATCTGCATAGCGAAGCCTTGAAGGTTTGCATTACAAAGAGGTGAACGGTGGCTCGGCTCCCTGATGGAGCGACCGGCGAAGCAAGAATTCCGAAGCTGCAAAGCCGAACTTGCAAGTTACAACGCTCGCCAAAGTGGGTCTTGCGATCGACAAAGGTGCCCAGTGTTGCGCAAGAGCTACATCGAGTTTCTCCTGTCACCGGTTCCTCCCTTTTTGTGATGCGGCCGCTTGGTATTTCTCCACGTAGCCTTCGACCAGTGCTTCTATCTGTCCATCAGAGAGAAGAGAACTCCCGTTAAGATTCGGTTTGACAAACCCAGTAACATTAAGAATCTCAGATATGGCCGAGTATTAAATACTGCGACAGTCCCCTAGAATAGGTTCAAGACTGGACTCTACGACCTCCTTCGTCTCCTCCAGTCCCTTCCCCCAGCGGGGCAGAGAAAGCGCAAAGGTTCCTTTGCTCGAGCTTCAACTGACACCTTCGGCGCCGTTGAAGGAATTGATCGTCGTCGAAGCACGACGTGAATCTCAAATACCAAGACAAACCAGTGAATCCGGACTGTAGGCATTTCTTTAGGATTGGGTCTGAAACACAGCTTGACCCAGTCACGCCCAAATACATCACGAACTCGTCACCGCTTGCCAGCGCCCGACATGCCACAAAGGAGCCACACTCGAATCCTGACGTACCTTGCTCCTTCGTTTTGACGTCATAAACTCCCCGTCGTTCAGCTGTTTCTCCGCGGGCGTCTGCCTTTCGAGCACCTTGGCAGTCGCCTTCTTCAGAATCGTCTTGAAGTCGTCCTTGCTGATGCCTTTGGAGTTGTACACCGGCTTGAGAACCTGCACGATAAACTACACGTCAATTCCACAAACAAAAACAAGATGCTTGTAACGTTCTGACAATAGTTGACGATTGCTCATAAGACTCAAGCGAGGATTGTCCCGAGATTATCCTCGCTGATGCCTGGGAGTTGTACACCGGCTTGAGAACCTGCACGATAAACCACACGTCGGTTCCACAAACGCACTTCTAAGATGCTTGTGATATGCTGACCAAGTATTGGCGACGGCTCAGGCCACTAAGCGTTTCGGGTCCGCTGTGAGCACTTTGAACGGCGCTACACGACAGCATCAGCAAGACGAACACCCTTCCAAAGAGAACGCAACTTGGAAAATACACTTTCAAAAGACGCAACTTGGAAAGTCGTCGTGAGCCCACATGCCTTTTGGTCACGAAAGTCTCGGTCTGCTCTAAACAATTTCGTTGTAGACATTGCCTAGACCAGCTAAAGGTCACTCGACGCCAGTCCCTGTGTATTTGCCGCTTGAGCAACCTTGCATTAAACATCCTCGCACGCCAGAACCAACGTCTCCGCCCAATCTCCCTCACCGCAATGACGACCTCCTGGACCGCATGCTTCCGGTCCTTCACCCCATTCCCCGCGGCCGCGTCAACGCGCCGCGCCGCCTTCTCCGCGGACGCCCATGTCTGCGCTGGGTCGTACTCGTAGTTGATTCCGCTGCCTCCCCCATCATTCTCTAGGACTGGCCACCCCCCGCCGGGCCCGTTCGTGGAAGCCCCTCCACCTTGCCGCGTCTCCTGGGGCCCTCCCGCCGTGGGCCCGCCCGCCGGACCCACCCCCCCTACCGCTGGCGGGGGTGCAACCAAGCCCGCAAGAGGGATCCCCGGACTCGGTTGAGTTGCGGGAGCGTCCCTAGGGGTTTGCGACTGCCCGACGTTCTCGGCCCCCTGGAAGGCATCTTGCAGCCCCGCCAGGAGCGCCGACGCTTCGGTGATGTCAGCTTCTCCCAGCGCTGAAGCTGTCGGCCCCGGCGCCACGTCATCCTCCCCAAACGGGTCGTACTCCTCCTCTGGACTGACCGTCCCCGCCCCTACCTGCTTCGCTGCTCCTTCCGAGCTGCCCAACCCCGTCCCTGTGCTTGGCACCGAGCCTGCTCCAATCCCCTGTCCAGCGTTCATCGCAGTAGGTCCCATGGGAACGCCTGGCTGCGATACGGCCCCCGCAAAAGCAGCCACATGCCCGTTCTCGTTCTCCTTCACCGCCGCTCCCGCAACCTGCCCGTCCACTGCGCCCCTCAAGCTGCCCGGACCGCCGGTCCCCTGCACCCCCCCTGCGACGTCCTTCTCGCTCCCCTCCTTGCGCGCTATCTCGTGGCTCCCCCTCCCGTCCCGCACCCTCGGGTCCACGGGCTGCCCCTTTCTTCCCTCCGCGCCCCGCTCCTTCTCGTGGCTCCGCCGCTTCTCCAGCGCTCTCAAGTCTCCCGACGACCCCTTCCCTTTTTCGTGCCCCCGCTTCTTCCCGTCCGACGGCGGTGCACGTGCCGCCTCTGCCGGGGACGCCGTCTCCCGTGAGTTTCTCCAGTCCTCCGAGCGGAGCCGCTCGGGCGGCGCGCGCTTGTCTTCCGGCCGCTTGTCCTTTTTGGCGTACTTGGAGAAGGAGACAATCTCGGGCAGGGCCGACATGCTGCTCGTCAGGCGGTCCTCCGCGGCCTTAAGCGCCTGAGACAGAGAAGAACGTGCTTCATCAATGTCAAAATGGGCGCCGCCAAACCAGGACCTCTCTGTGGATCGGACGTTAAAGATTTAAGGGTTAGGGAAACGACGGACGAGCGTCAGTACAGCCGCGACATCCTAAAGAGTTCACTCGAAGAAGCAAAACTCTGAAATTGGGATAGTCGACGCGTGAGGGACCATTAACAAATCACGAATTGAAGATAGCCTTCCAGCAAGTTCGTGAGTCGCTGATTGCAGCGAGAGGCAGAAGGTTGACAGATGCTATTGAACCTTGCTAGTCATCAAGCGAGACGAGCGCTCAAGTACAAGTGGCAAAGACCTTGACCATCGAGACCAGAGAACCCTTTCGACCAATTCAGGCAAACTCCATCTCAAGCCATGCAACTGCATCCTCTACCGCCCCCGCGTACCTCTTCAGCGGCAAGCGCCGCCGCTTCCGCCTCCTCCGCCGCTTTCTTCAACGCCAGCTCCGCTTCTGAGAGTTCCTTCGCCGCCTCTTCCCGTACGGGCTCCTCAATCTTCACCACCTGAGTCTCCTCAGCTGTTGGCTCCGGCACTGAGGCTGCCAGAAGCTTCGGACTGACAGAGCGCTGCTGGGCGAGACGCAGCGCCTTTTGGCGCTTGAAGATGGCGATCCAGCGGTCGACTAGCTCCTTGGCGAGAACGCGGATCTCTCGGCTGGGGTGCGCCAGCGCCTTCTCGCGGACTGTCCGCGCCACGCCTGTCAGGAAGAGGCGGCCGATAAGACGACCCAGGTAGGCACTGTGAGCGCCGACGCTGATAGGGTGCCACAGCAAGCCGTTCTCCCCGCAGTGCCAGGGTCTTTCTGATAAGCAGCTTCACAAACTTGGACAGCAAAGCAGGACTCTCGCGTATGAAATGAAACGACCATTTTAAACGACGATATCCTGTTCAGAAGCTCTCGAGGCCGTCTCTTCAACAAACGCAAAGCCCAGTCAGCCTCTTCCCACCGCATCTGCATTCTGTTCAACCCAAGGTCCTGCCAAGTTGGCCAGAGCCATACACTACGATTGTCAAACCATCCGCACTCTGTTGGAACCGCAATTACTGTCCACTTGGCCAAAGGCGTACACTTGAGTTCTTACCCGACACCTTGACCGCCCCCAGGTCCACCGCCGCGACCAGCAGGATTTTGAGCCCCAGCCGCAGCAGCTGCGTCCCGGACGTGTCCGCCGCCAGCGCGTCCGCCATCCAGCCGTCCAACACCTTCAGCCCGGCACGGGTGCCCGCAAAGCTTCGGAGCTCGCGGTCCGGTAGCTGCAGACAGCACATTCAAACATTAGCCCTTCGTATTGCTTGGATCTTATATAAAAGGGGGCCAGAGTATCTACTGATGGAGGCCCCAAATGTCATCCCGTCGCGAACCTGCAGCACTATGAGTAATCAGCCCTCCGTTTTGGACTTTAGAAGAAAGCCAGAATACCGACTGAGGAGGCCCCTTATGTCACCCTCCTGTTGAGTTGTGGAAGTGTTTCAGCTGGAAACCTGGTGTGCTAGTTGGGATTTGCTGATTGACGGAACTCGTGTTGTGCTTCTTTCTGACTTGAAAATCTGGTCTTGTCAAGAAAAACAACATGGAAAGGCAAGTTTGCTGGACAAAACAGTGCGTGCATCATTTGGACAAATCTTCGACAATTCGGGCCTCGTCCCAAAAGCAGCGGCCCACCTGCACCAGCTTGTTGGCCAGCGCGCTCCGACCTCCCGGAGTGCGCGTCGACGCCAAGAGAGATTCCAGAACGGACACGCGCGTCTCGGGCGTGGAGTGCTCGACCTTGTAAACCACTTCGCGAATCTCGGCCTTGGAGTCGTCAGCGGTCTTGCGCGCCGACACGAGCGCTTCCTCTTCCGCTAAGGTGTCGCGGTTGTGCTCCAGGAGGTGCGCGATGCGGACGGCCTCGCGCAGCCCACTCAGCATGGCGCCGCCCACCGTATCGGGGTGCTCCTGAAACGAGCGAGGGGAAGTTTTTAGAAGGCCGAAGGTCTCCAGGAGACATCCGAAGGAGACACGATAGGGTGCTCTTGACATAAGTGCTAGCCGGAGCCCACCGTCGAAGAGCCTGAGGTTTGAAAAGGGGTCAAGGAAACTCTTCTGACAACGACCATGATTGTCTGATGTGTCGACATCAGGAACGTTACACCTGTTTTGACATAATCGTGTGGGCCGATTGACCAAGTAACCCGGATCCCGTTTTCAATTCTTCAAGGGCGTGGTGGGCAAAGAAGGTCTCCAAAGATAGCTTTGGGAGCTGTGGACCACATGAATGCGCAATGTGACGGAGCCAACTTGTTGCAGAGCTATGGTAATAGAAAATATGTCATGAATTCTAATAAACCCTGAAACGAGCGCCCGAGGTCCTCACCCTACACGTGGCCTCTCCCGCAAAGAAGAGCGCCTTCTCCACGGGCGCCGCCATCAGGTCGTAGTCCTTTCCCGTTGCTCCCACCGCCACGTATGAGTACGCCCCCCGGCTGAACCGGTCGCTGCCCCAGCGCGTGACACGTGTGGTCGACGGCTCCGGCACAGCGTCGGGGCCAAAGAGCCGCCGGAGGACCGCCACTGCGTGACCGATGACGTCAGCATCGGGCCGGGCCTCAGCGGCTTGGGCTGCCTCACCGACGATGAGCGCGAGAAGGATTGGCTGACCGCATACCCTCTGCGCAAACAGGAGACGGATAAAGTTCGAGTGAGTACTACCATAAAGGTCGTGGGTCGGAATCAGGCTATCAGGACGACAAGCAAAATAAGCTTCATACATTCTGCCAGAACTTAATAAGCTTTCCTGAAAATGCCTTCAGAAGCAGCTCCTAGCGCGTCCCTTCGGACGAAGAATCCGTGTTCACACCCACGAGCTCCGCTCTACCGGGCCTAGATGACTTGTAAATGCAACCACGAACGACAACGAAACGAACCTCGATGCAAATCTTTCGGAGGCGCTTCGAAACATTTTCAGAAGAATAGTACAAAAGGCCGACAAAAAGATTGGAATGCCCCTCACGTGCAGGTTCCAGAACATGAAGCAGTTGCCCCGGTCGTGCCCGTCCTCCACCGCAGCCCCGAAGTAGTCCACCGACGTGTCCCAGAAACACGTCGGAAACTGCATCACCACCTTGTTCAGGTTGCCATACCCTAGCCGCTGGATGACCTCCTGCTTCCAATCAGGCAGGGGCGGGGAGAACCGCACGTCGCCCGCTTTCAAGCAGCCAAGGGGAGCGGTCAGCAGCACGGCGTCGCAGGAAAACGTCTCCCCAGCGACGGTTTTGACGGACGGGGGATCTGCCGACTTGCTGGTGCTCGGTGAAGGGGGGTACGAGATTTCGGACACCACAGAGCCCAGCCGGACGTCCAGGTCCTCTGCCAGAGCTTCGATCACGTGGCCATACCCTGTATCAATCGGACATACGTGAGCTTCCCAGTATCAATTGACAAAAGCGCACCTTGTCTATCATGAAACTGGTCGTGGGTGCATGTCACAGGTTTCAGGCTTGATGAATGCCTCCGCTTTTGAGAGACCGGGGCGTTCGCGATAGAACTCTCCTTGTTTGAAAAGCGCTAAAAAAGGGAGGGGGGGATCAGGCAGCCTACGGGCCTGGATCTCGCAATTGCAAGTGCTCGCTCATTCTGCAGGCCAGGGTATCGCCTGTGACCTTCTGCAAAGACCCAGTCGAGAGCAGAAAACAGCAAACCGATGTGGAGTGGTAGCCAAGACAGAAACTCTCACCTCCCTTGACCATGCAGTGCGCCCCTCCGAAGCCCCCAAACGGATCGTCCTGGTTCCAGTGCGGCAGCGACACGAGCCCCAGCGGGGCAGCACAACCGTACTCCAAGTTGGCGTAGTGCCAATCCAGGACTCGCCTCTCCTCGGGAGTAATGAAACCCTCAACGCCTAACCCATTCTCTTCGTGATCCGTCCCGGGTCCCGCGTCTGGTTCCTGGCCCGAATGCACAACCGCCCCCGAGCGACTGCTCAGGTCCTTGGTAGCTGAACCTTCTTCTACTGGCAATCCTAGCCTAAGGGCGACCTCGTTTGACGTAGCTGTACCTGCTTCTACGCTCATTGCTACTGCAGTACTGACTGGCGCGAGGGCTGCTGGATCCATGTCCACATCTCCGCTGGGCCTGCTGACTAAAGGCCCATTTGGTTGTGGAGCTGATGAGGATGCAACCCGCCTTGCTTTCTGCCGCCGGGAGAGGAGCGCCGCTTCAAGCCCCTCTTCCAGCGACATGCTGGCGACTTCTGCCTTGTCGGCTGGGATAAGGGCCTGGAGTGACCACCAGAATGGAAAAAGGTTCATGAATTTCCTACATTGATGATCCCTTGATCCCACAGGATTGCCAGAGGGAAAGCTTGGTCTCAGGGCGACTTTACAACGAGGATTCGGAGCCCCCACTAGTTGACTCAGAGTTGCTCCTGCCACCGCGAACAAGACAAAGTAGGCTGCCCCCAAGGGCTCCAGTTTCTGTCACAGCCGGCGGCTTACTGCCCCCAATAATTCCCTCTACTGAGCAGTTTTGGAGGCAGTAGATCACCAACAATCTATTTGCTGCGCATGATAAACGGTTCTCACCGTATCGTCCAGCAGGGCGTTGAACTCCGCCTCAAGCGCTGTATCCACTTCCGGTGTGACAAGCGCCCCCGTGACCACATCATACAGCGGGCAAAGCTGCCCGAGGGGAACGCACTCGGTGCCCAGCTGCTTGCACACTAGTGCGCTGGGGTCTGGCTGCCTCTCCCCCACTACATCGGCCTCAATGCCGGTGATGATGCTGGCGCCAAGATCAACCGGAGCAGAAAAGGTCTTCTTGTCGGTGTGCACGCGGCCCCCCACCCGCTTGCGCGCCTCAATGACAATGACCTAGAGCAGGGCAATCAGATATGAGCTCGGAGGATTTTCTCGTGGCGGAAGAACACTCTCTTGAGCAGCCAAGCGCAGTTACAGCAGCGCACTTCACTTTGAGGAGCGAGACAGGAGAGGGCATACGAGGGAAGCAGAGAAGACATGCAGAAGAAGAACTGGAGCATGGTGTGTTATAAATAAACCTTCTCTGTCAGGCCCTGCCCAAAGCAGGTGTTCCAAAAAGCTGCCGCTGTCAACGTAGAGGACAGCGAACTCTGGCTTTCTAAACAACACCAACTCTGGTCGACCGAAAGGGACAAAAGTATGAGCACAGAATTGGACAAGCGAAAAGCAAACAGCGTACTTTCAAGATGCAGATGCATGCTGCTTGTGTGCGGAAGCCAGGAAAGCGAAGAGCCCACGCTGAAAATAAACTCAACTCCTTTTTACAAGCATCAGGAATCATACGGGGCCCCTTGATAATTTCAAAGGCAACAATAAGCTTTAACGGTAGAGTGCAAAACTGAAGCAACAATGACCGCCTGGAGATGATAGCACAATCGACAACGAAGTCTCAAAAGAGTAGGAGGCCGTCAACAAGGACAAAGCGTCAGACTTGGTTCATCTATGACTCTGAACATCTCAGGACACTCAAGAAGCTGGCTGCCCAGCATAGCTCCACAATCCAATTTAGCAAGCCTCCTCCACGGCAACCAACCAGATGGCTCTGAAGGCACCACGAGAATTTTAACAACCGAGATCAGAAAGTGTGAAGCGTGAAGCATGTTTAAAGTCGGTGCCTCACCTCCAGTCCCAGTCTTTGCATGTGCCGCGCGGCAGCTAACCCTGCTGGCCCCGCCCCCACCACAACGACCCTCCGCTTCTTTCGCTCCTCCTCCTTCTTGCCCTTCTTCCCAGCACTGTCCAAGACCCCGGCCGCCTTCTCATCATTACCATCTGCAGAACCAGGCTTTTCCACCTCGGCCTTCACTGCAGGCTTCCCCTTCGCTCTCCTCAGGCCAAGGTCCTCATCGTCAGTGTCGTCCTCGACCTGACCCGTTCTCAAGAATGCCTCAATATGTGCCCTCAAAAGTTTCTTTTTGTCTGTCAAGTCCAGACCCAGCTTGGCCTCCAGCTGCTTTCTAAGCTGCCGCTCTGTCAGCGTCTGCAAATCCGCCGCACGGAGGAGCGCCCGCAGGCCACGTACTACCTCCTTTTCTGAAACAGCTTTCGGTTCTTCAACAGGCATCGTTGCAGCCTCAGCCTTAGATGCCGTAGCTTCGTCATTTGGAACATTTTGCTCCTGCTTTACTTCCTTCGTTTCCGTCCTGTTTGCGGAAGCGTCTGCTTCCTTCTTCGAGGTCTCAACGGCCACTTCCATTGCAGCAACTCCAGCAATTTCTATTTCACTCCCAACCAACCCGCCCTCCTCTTTGATTGCAGCAGCTGGCTCAACTATCACCTGGGTCGCATCCACTCCTCCACTGCCATTCTCGTCAGCTTCAAGAAACTCTACCGTCATGCCAACAGCATCCTCTCCCTGGCCCGCTGCTTCTAATTTGACTGGGACGTCCCCCTTCTCTGAAACTGCCCCCTTTTTCCGGGCCAGCGCACGTCTGCTACCAGCAATCCCACAGTTGATGAAACCCCGCCGGTCGAGGAACTCAAAGACCTCCCGGATGAGAGGAGCCCCGGGGGACTCTCCAGGAGTGGCTGTGGGGGTCACCTTGCAGTCAGTGAGTTGGAGGACCCGGGATATGTCCTTCTCCCAGAGCGCCAAGACCAGGTTCCTGTGTAAGAAACCAGAATCACATGAGTTCAATAACGTCAACATACAGCAACCTGTCTTCGAATGGAAGTTGGAAGTTAATAGAAAATAACCATGTAGGGGACTCTGGGAGGCCTGCATGTACTTGCCAACCAAAGTCCAGCCTGAAAGGCGGTGCTTCCCAATCTGCAATTAATCCTTTGCTGACATTCCTCTGATCAAACTCAGAACCTTCCCATCTTATTACAATGTTCGATATTTGGACACCATAAGTTCGGGGACTATCGTGTTTGGACACCACGACTTTCCTTCTCCTCACCTACCTTTGACCCTTGCCCAGTCGAAATAGAAGCAACCTGTAGAAGCAAAGCTTTTGAAGAAGGCAGCGATTGCTTAGAAAGAAATCATTATCGGCTGCTGATCCAGACGGTCTCTGGTGACCAACTGGCTGTGGGGGAAGTCTATTCACCTACCTTGCAGCGAGGTAATCTTCTTTGCCCGCCCTTTTCTTGAGCTGCTCTTTGAACCTGATCAACTCGGATGGAAGCAGCACCTTTGCCTTAAGCCCGGCGGTGACTGCAGCAAACACCCCCGGTTCTACTTCCACACGTTGCCCCTTTGGACCTGCAAGTTGGTCAGGGGGTGTCAAGGGGCACAACGCAAGCAGCTTACTTCAGAATGGAACCTACACCAATGTAGGGCAAAATCAACACATGTTTGCGGGGAGTGCCTACCGAGCTTTATGCTGATTGAATGGCATCTTACATAACAAACCAAACATGTAGGGGAAAAAACACCAGAGATAGTGTCATCTTTTAGAACATCCGTAGCTTTAATCAGGGGCAATCTGTCTTTTGCAGGGTGGTTTGGGGAGGAAAAGGCAGAACATGAGGTAGGACTAGTGTTCAAGCTTTCTGCTTTGCCAGACCAATGAGACTGGAGCAACATCCTACCTGTAGCTGCGATGCCTCCTAGGAGATTCCGGCGATGGCCAGCCTTCCCCCGCTCAATCAATGTTTCCCAATCTTCATCTCCCTCATACAGGAACTCTGCATCCCTCTTCCTTTTCAGCTGCCTTTGAACCCTCTGTACGCGCACCGGTGGTGCTTTGGCCAGAACCTCGTCTGCTGATGAAGGCGGCTTCCACTCGGGGTCAGCGGTGGCGCCTAATCTGTCAATGGAAGCCCCAGCAGCTAGCTCTGATGCTCCCGAACCTACCATCGATGCAGGATGGCCGTCAACTGCAGCTGCTGGCAGCTGCACACCCGACTCCAGACCCGACGTCAGCATTCCGTCTGCGTCCCTTTGCAACGAGACCGACATGTGACCAGCATTCTCCGGCAGGGCTTTGTCTGCAACATCAGGCCACCCTGGCTCGTCTGGCGTCAGCTGATCTGCTAACTCCAGCAAGGTGCTTGAGTTGAGCACCACTTCTTCAATGGAGTTTGTCATCACAGCCTCCTGCACCGTCTCCTTGCCCAGGGGGTGCGGCGCGTACTCGTCGACGTCCATTGCATCGGTGCCTGCTTCCGGAAGAGGCGGCCCTGCTCCAATCAAAGCCCTGCTGGCATCCATGGCAGTAGGGACCTCCTTTTCTCCTCTCAAATGCTCAGAACCCTCCATTGCAGCACCTGCTGGTGGTCCAGGTGTATGTGCAGGGCCTCGCGCTCTCTGCGTAGCCAGCCACACTCACACACAAAGCGGCCTAGAGCAGGCAC